ACTTCTATGTATGCTTTCCACCCAGTAACAGTATGCAGCACACACCATTCTGCCCATTAACTTGATTAAATTGAGCCTCTTTCCTTGTCAGTGCATAGTAGGCTTCCTCACCATGGAGCGTAGTTCCAAGACCCCAAGCTGGCTTTCTTCTTGACTGGAGGAAGAGTGGTTGGTTGTATGTGGCTTTGGAAAGTGTTATCCCAGCAGGTTCAATTTAGGCTAGGATTTTATAGATGGTGTGATTGCTAATTAACAATTATGGATATTGATGTAAGGCTATACCTTTATCATAAACCCATGTAACATCTGGATGTATTACAGTTAGAGTTAGCCCAAATGTGCATCAGAGGAATCTAGTTGAATAAATGAAGGTACACAGTGGAATTCTTTGCAACTATAAGAAGAAATGAGAAAGACCTCTGTAAATTCCACTATGGAGTGATTTCTAAATATATTAATAAGTGGGGAAAAGATGAAAGGAGATGCCAAAAGGAAAAAAGTATGTATTTGTGTATTTTTTTTAAAAGATAGAAACCAAAAAAAAAAAAAAGATAAAAGCAGATGTATAAAAATGACTACCTATAAGGTGAAGGAAGAGGATGGAGGTAACAGGGATACAATCTAGAATTTTCTTAAGGTATTATATTGACTTTGAAACTACATAAGTTTTATAAAATTTTTAAACAAGATTAAATAAAAATGAAAAAGTATTCCATAAATATTGAAAGCAAAATGAAACAAGTAACCCTAATTGCATTTCAAGTTGGTGCTTATAGTCACATAATTATTTCAAATGCCTTTATATCACAGCAGTGTCCCGTAGAGGTTTATACCTGCAATATTGCAATTTTTTAATTTAATTTTTTTATTAAGTTTTCATTGATATACACTCTTATGAAGGTTTCACATGAAAAGCACTGTGGTTACTACATTCACCCATATTATCAAGTATCCTCCACATCCCATTACAGTCGCTGTCAATCAGTGTAGTTAGATGCCACAGAGTCACTACTTGTCTTTTCTGTGCTACACTGTCTTCCTTGTAAGCCCCACACACATACCATGTGTGCCAATCATAACACCCCCCAATCCCCTTCTCCCTCCCCACCCACCCACTCTCACCCATCCCCTTTGGTAATTGCTAGTCCCTGCTTGGAATCTATGAGTCTGCTGTTCCATTCATTCAGTTTTTCTTCGTTGTTATACTCCACAAATAAGGAGGTTTGAGGCCCTTCTACTTCATTGTATTAAATATATCATGCCACTCCCTTCTGGCCTGTAAGGTTTCTGCTGAGAAGTTTGGTGATAGCTTGATGGGATTTCCTTTTTATATGATCTTTTATTTTCTCTCTGGCTTCTTTTAATACTCTGTCCTTATCCTTGATCTTTGCCATTTTAATTATTATATGTGTTGGTGTTGTCTTCCTTGGGTCCCTTGTGTTTGGAGATCTATGTACCTCCATGGCCTGAGAGACTATCTCCTTCCCCAGATTGGGGAAGTTTTCAGCAATTACCTCCTCAAAGACATGTTCTATCCCTTTTTCATTCTCTTCTTCTGGTACCTCTATAATGTGAATATTGTTCCGTTTGAATTGGTCACATGGTTCTCTCAATAGTCTTTCATTCCTAGAGATCCTTTTTTCTCTCTATGCCTCAGCTTCCTTGTATTCCTGCTCTCTAATTTCTATTTCATTTACTGTCTCCTCTACTTCATCTAATCTGCTTTTAAATCCCTCCATTGTGTGTTTCATTTCAGATACTGTATTTTTCAAGGTTTCTTTCTTTTTCTTGAATTCCTCCCTGAGGTCTTGAATATTTTTCTGTAGCTCCATGAGCATGTTTATAATTTTTATTTTGAAAACTCTTTCAGGAAGATTGGTGAGTTCAGTTTCTCTCAGCCTTCTTTCTGGTGTTTGTGGGATTTTGATTTGAACAAGTTCCTTTGACATTTCGTATTTGTAGGTGGCTCCCTCTAAAGCCCAGAAGCTCTACTCTCTGGAGCTGCTCAGCCCCTGGAGTGGTGGTGGGGGCTGCAGGCAAGCAGTGCTGGTGCCTTCTGGGAAAGAAGAGCTCTTTCCCGCTTCCCAGCTGCAGTGCGTGCCTCCACTGCCAGGGCCAGTGGGCCAAGCATGCGGAGAGGAGTCTCTATGCTACACCCTTTTAGTTGCCATAGGTGGGGCTGCCCTCTGGCTGGCCTGGCACAATGGTGGGGGCAATAGGTTTGTGAGCCAATGCCAGCCGGGAGGATGGAGCAGCAGGCTGCTTATCATAGTGGAGGGCCTTGGAGCTACGTTGTCAGCCAGGGGGATGGAGCACCTCAAGCTCCTGAAATTTCACAACCTGCTAGGCTGAGTGTACTGAGACAATTTTGTCCATGTGTGATTTCTCTTGAGCAGCAAGCTCTGTGCAATCCTTGCCCCTTTAGCAGTCCTCTCACTGTTAGGAAGTCTCTCAGAGTGCTCACCATTCTTTTGTCCCAGAGCAGCCAGTTGTGGTGCCTATTGTCCACAAGTGACTGGAATCTCAGTCTCTCTGGGTATTCCACCTGTCTTAGCTTTCCAACCTCACTAATCTCCAGAGCACAAGTATAATGTAAGTTCATACTCCCAGAGCAGATCTCCAAGGCTGGGTCTTCAGCAGTCCTAGGCCTCTATCCCCTCTCCACTCTGTTTCTCTTCCTCCCACCTGTGAACTGGGGTGGGGGAAGGGCTTGAGTCCTGCTGGATCACGACTTTGGTACTTTACCCTTTTCCATGAGGTCTGCTCTTTTCCCCAGATGTAGGCAGTCTGTCACAGCATTCTTTTGTTGCTTTTTCAGGATTAGTTGTATTTGCTATATTTTCATAATATATGTGGTTTTGGGAGGAAGTTTCTGTCTCACCTCTCATGCCACCATCATTAAGCCAATCAGTGTGATTTATGATACATATATATTTGGTCTCCAAATATATCATGCTCTTTTGCTTGTTAAGAACACTGATGGTAGAAAAGAAAAGTGAAATATATTGAGATAGAGATAAATATGATTATATATAATATAAAGGTATAACACATTTTTTTATAGTTTGCAAATCATTTTTTTTGAGAGGGCATCTCTCATATTTATAGATCAAATGGTTGTTAACAACAATAAAATTCTGTATAGGGGACTCAATGCACAATCATTAATCAACCCCAAGCCTAATTCTCAACAGTCTCCAATCTTCTGAAGCATAACGAACAAGTTCTTACATGGTGAACAAGTTCTGACATGGTGAACAGTGCAAGGGCAGTCATATCACAGAAACTTTTGGTTTTGATCACACATCATGAACTTAAAACAATCAAGTCAGATATGATTATTCATTTGATTTTTATACTTGATTTATATGTGAATCCCACATTTCTCCCTTATTATTATTATTATTTTTAAATAAAATGCTGAAGTGGTAGGTAGATGCAAGATAAAGGTAGAAAACATAATTTAGTGCTGTAAGAGGGCAAATGTAGATGATCAGGTCTGTGCCTATAGACTAAGTATTAATCCAAGCTAGA